ATTTAAACTGTATAGTAGAAGATTCCTTAATTTTTCTCTTTTTTTTTATAGGGAATTAGTATCAGACATGCTATCTTTTTTTAAGATTTATTTATTTATGCATACAAAACTGGGGTATAGGCCAGAGGTGTGAGGGAGTGAGAGGATTCTCCAGAGACAGAGTGGGGAACAGAACAGGCGGATCAACTGAAATACACTGCTGAGGGGATCCGCAGGTGAGTCAGGAGAGGTCTGCTGTACCCTGTGGGTTACCTCCCTGGCGATCAAACCCATTCTACCTACAGTGGCTGTGGATAACTTCATACATTGCATCTTAACCCCTTGCACCACCAGGGAGGCACTCCTTACTTTTTCATAGAAGAAACTTAAAGGTTTTCATCTCAGGCTCTAGAAAACGGAGATGCTAACTATACAATAATCCTTCCATAGCAAGAATAACTATGTAGTTGGAGACAGAAAACTCGATTTAATATGTTTGTACTGGTAACTTTTTTTTTTTAGATTTATTTATTTATACAAGAACTGGGGTACAGTCAGAGGCATAGGAGGGTGAGAGAATTCACCAGAGACAGAGTGGGGAGCAGAACAGGCAGACAGACAGAAGACACTGCCGAGGGGAGCAGCAGGCAAGGCAGGAGAGGTCTGCCGTGCCATGTGGGTTTCTCCCTGGCCGGTCGGGAATTGAACCCGTGCTGTAGAGGCTGCGGTCAGCTTCACAGCGCGGTGCTCAACCCGCTGCACCATCAGGGAAGCCCTGTGCTCGTAAGTTCTTGAATACTTGCATAATCAAGATCTGTGCTTACTAGACATGAGCTTGTGGAAGTTAACTATTTCATAAGCCCTCCTATTACTCATACATAAAATAGACATGATAATAGTTACCTCAAGGGCACTTAAGAACATTCATCAAATTTTAACTAAAGTATTTAACAGTGTTCAGGGCAAAATGAATTTATTTAATGACAACTAAGCATTTTTGATCACTTCAATCTTTAATTTCCTTAAGTCCAAATGGGAAAAACATTACCAACTTTGTATATCTCCAGGGATGCTAATAAATATTTTAAAATGAAATAGTATGTAAGTACAGTCAGATTATTATAACTTTACCAACACCCCCCAATCTGGTCATTTCCTTTGTAATATGGTTTAATCACCTCTAAAACCAAGTGATTAAAACTAATAAAGATTGGATTATCAGTCCAAATATTCATGCAAATGCATGTTTTAAGTATTCTACAAAATTTCACATGTTGGTTTTTATTATTTCCTCAGAAACTAATGTTTCTAGGTCCTGTAGCTTAGAATCAGTCTACAACAGTCCATAGGTCTAATCAATATTCAATTAATATTTGTTTGATTAACTGAAGCCTTACCTCCTGTGATCTTATTATACTAGGTATTCATATAAGCCAGTTTGCCCAGGATAGTCCTGTTTTGTGCCTGTTACAAGGGACTAATTGTTAATAATGCTCCCCTTCACTCTTCAAAGTAAATCTATCATTTGATTACCTTACTTAAAAATCACTCAACATAACACATAGTTAAAATATATTCCATTTTACATTTCAGTTTAGGCACTGTTTTAAGTTATTTTAATTTGGAGCCTGCACTTAGACTTTTTCTTTGATTCCACTTTTCTATTTGATAGTGATTTGTATCATACAAATACATTATTTGAAAGAATGTATACAGTACTCCATTATTTATTAGGATGCATTATTTCTACATTGTCCCCAAATATGCTCGTAGAGAACAAAACTTGAATGGTTTTACTGACCTCCATGTCCAAGGTGAAGATATGGTATAAATATTTATCTTATTAAAATAATCACAGACTAACTTGAATAAGTATGTTCCTTCTTTCATACAAAATCTTTGCAGCTGCTTTTTGTAGGATTGAAGCAAAACATAAATACTGATGTAATTTAAGTAATTATGAAGTGTTCCCTAATGTAGTCTCATTATACCTTGCTATTTGAACTGTATTAATGTATTTTTGTTATAAGTACTGATAAAATTGAATTTAACTATGTCTGCTCTCAATAAATTACAAAAATAAATGCAAATAGTAATGTGATGACATATAAACAGTATATGATGGTGGGACTGGATAATGTTAAATAGAGGTAATTTAAAAATACTATTGTGAGATACTCTTAAAGAAAAGTTTGAAGGATGATTCTATTCTTAGTGAGTCAGCTGGTTTAGTCTGGAATTTCCTTGCTAGTTCCATTCTTAATTGAAAGTATAAAATTAAACTAAATTTACAGTGCAAAGAAGTACATGGCAAACTAAATATATATTTAATAGGTACTAAAATAAGCTCATGGAATGTTCAATGTGAAAAACAAAATACTATTTTGAGATACTAATTTAAATATTTAATTATTTTTTTAAGATTTAGTAGCAACTTTGTGCCAAACTTCTGAACCTCATTCATTTTAACATTTGAAGTCAAATTTTGGAACCTTGGCATTTTGATATTAAACTGTTTAAACTACTTCCATAACTCTTCAAATCAGTAGAAGAGAGCTTTTCCACAATTAACGGTTAAATTTGTGAGGCAATGAGAATCTCACTGGTGTATTAAATGTAATGAATATATGATTTTTTTAAAAGTTCAATTAAATAAGCAATATTTCAAAATAAAATTTTCAAGAGCTACATTTTTGCAGAGAAATTTTAAAGCCCTCATGAGATTGATAAGAAAATCCACAACCAACGATTATTTCAAGTTATTTTATTGAAGCAATATTGTTACATGTAATGGAACTGCCTTCTAGAGAGAGTCAGAATCACCCCCTCGCTTGTTTGTCCCACAGGCATACAAAAGTGTCTGAAGCAAGGTCACTGCAGATGTGGGGATAGCAAAGGATTGAATAATAATGACAACACAGGACAAAAAAAAAAAAAAAGCTGCTGGTCTCCTGATTCTACTTCAGGCTATCCTTTGTGTGATTTTTCCTTTCCTATCAAAGTGCCTCCAAATCATATGGTCATTTTCAAATGGAAAAATATAAGGTAAAGATTTATTCAATAATGGCAGACTACATAGTTGATATTTTAAAAATAAATTATAGGGAAAACAATTTTGAAAAATATCATACTATTTTAGTCTGTTGTCCTAACCTTTGCTTAATTTGTTTGAAAAATAGATTTGTATTTCTTTAAAGGTCAAAAATCAATCATTGTTTTATCAAACAATCAAAACATAGAATTATTTGCATCATGTTCCACTTCAACTTAAATACTCATCAATAGTGCAGTACTTTGAAAGAAGAATTTTATTTTGCACTTTATACATAGGCTTTTCTCTGGTAGTCAATTAATCTGCAGTTTGTGTTTCACTTACCAACAAACAACTTTGACAGTTGTACAAATTTCAGTAAACCATGCATGGATTTGGAAATATAGGCTTTTCTAAAATTGCATACCGTGCATGACCAACTTAAACAAAATGAATGGAAACCTCTTCTACACAGTTTTACTGGAAGATTTTTATTCAGGCTTCGACAGACATCTATATAAAGCCAGAGTTATACAAATTATAATTAGAATGGATTAAGAAGATATATTTCTAGTCTACCAAAATGCATTTAATGCCATACTAATCTATGCTATATCTTAAATTAATAGATTTTGATTTGGGAAGGAGTGGTGAGAGCCAAGTGAGAGTTTTCAGAAAGATGGTATCTCTTTCCTCGCTTTCTCTTCCTCTCTCATCCAGGTCACTGCCAAAGTAACAATATTATTTTAACTCATTTTATCTTGCAATGCAATACTAGTTCATATACATATTGTGTGACCTTCATTTTCTACATCTTTGCAAGCTCATCTGGTTTAATGAAGAGGCAATGGGTCCCCTAGAAGAATTCAAGTGAATATTCTCCATCAACTAAGGATTTTCACAGGTTCTAAAAATCATACCTAAAACCAGTCATGTAAGCCTAATGCAATTTCGAATTTGGTAAGAAAAGAAATTAAATCCAGGAATTTATTGCAACAACCCACAACCTCAAATTGTTTCTATTTTCTCATTCCCAAGAGCCCTTCCTTAGAATTAACCTGTCAGAAAGCAGGAAGGGAATAACCCTGATTTATTACTTAAAGCAAAGTGAGACTTAAGCTTGAGGGATATTATGGGAAGGGTCCTAAAAGGAAAGAATGTGTTGTGTTTAAGTTGACAAAACCAGATAGGGAAGACATTAACTAAAAATCTGCTGTTGACAGGCATTTAATTTGACCTTCTAACCAACTGGACCCCAAGGATCACAAAACCACACTGTACACTCCATATAAGTTGGTCATTTATGTGATACATGGGAATGGACCTGGTAGTTTACTTCAAACAGGAAACCCCAGAGAGCATAAGATGTCTCAGAGAATCAAAGTCATTTACAAAATGACTTGATAAAAGAGAAAGCCATGACCCAAATTTATGGAATAAATAGTGAAAAAATGAGTTCATTTTATTTCATTAAAGTTTTTACAGTAGCACACCTGTTTCTAACCTATAGGTTCCCAGTCAAACATTAAAAGATATTATTCAATTTCAGGGCTTTTGAAAATTCTCTAACCTCTATTACTCAAAGACTATTACAAAATAATACTGCTATATTATTTCAATCTGTAAAGATTAAAGAAAGTTTCAGGGAAAAGAAGCAGTTAAGCAAGATATCCTTTCAAAATGGGGTCCCTTTTTCATACTCCAAAGTAAAGTTAAAGAATAAATTTTACTTGCAGATCCTGTAATTTATGTAACATTCAGTCAGAGTATTTTAATAACGTTCTGGGATTACAATTAAGCTTAAATATGGTTTTACAAAATTTCACTTTTTCGCAAAGTTGTTGAGTAAAAATACTGTTTATGGCACAAAATACACTTTAGTTGTATATCACACTAAAAATATTGCATATCAACAAAAACCAAAAATTAAAATTATTTTAAGATTTTTGTGATTTAGGAGATGAAGGAAACAATAATTCATCCCGCATACCTCAGTAGCAAACTGCTGTAGTCCACCAATATTAATCGGTCCTTCTTCAGTGGCATGTAAATTGCATCCACCCACACAAAGATCAGAAGTTGGACACACCATTCCACAAGTCAGACCAAGTGGGTTGTCAGAAAAAATCATTTTAGCAGCTCCATAATAGTTCTGCAAAAGTAAAATAAAGTGAAATGTTTATTACATAACATTGTAATGTTTCATTTAGGATATATTTTGTTATACTAGGTAACTGGATTTAAGAGCAAGATGCAGATATTGGATAAGATACAGAAGTTACAATACTATTTACCATTACCATCAACTAATAATTAGCAAAGAGCCTGATTTATATGAACATTTAATATACAGTGTGTCAATAATTAAACAATCAAATTTTTTAAAGATTTATTTATTTATGCATACAAGAGCCTGGGTACAGGCCAGAGATGCAGGGGGTGAGAGGACTCACCAGAGACAGAGTGGGGAACAGAACAGGCAGACTGACTGAAATACACTGCTGAGGGGAGCAGCTGATGAGACAGGAGAGGTCTGCCTCGCCATGTGGGTTGCTCCCTGGCTGGCTGGGGATTGAACTCATGCTGCAGAGGCTGCAGATAGCCCCACAGTGCAGTGCTTAACCCCTTGCACCACCAGAGGGGCCCAATTAATCATATTTAAAAAATAAAGCTTTCAAATATAAATGTTCTATACTCAGTGTTCTTTCACATAATATCTAAGTACATTCCACCATAAACTCCTTCCATTTTTAACAGGAACTTTGGTAGCATTGCTGGAATGTGTTAAACCCTAAATTTTTAAACTTAAAAATATATATATACTCAGGTCATCTACCATTTTACTAAATTAAAAGCAGTCAAAACTCTCTCTCTCTCATTTTATCTAACTTGCCCAAGGACACTAAACATTATTATATTCTTTTTTAATAATCATTCTTCAATAATAACTATTAATCAAAGATACAGATGAAAGTCATTATATAGAAACCCGTGGACCAAACCTTAATAAGTTCATCTCACCAATCTTTTCCACATACCTGGATATTACAGAATAGCTTAGAATCCTACTCATTTTATCAAGGGTTTTGGACCCTAACTTGTGGATAAATTTACTAAATAATGAATTAATTGAATATTTCAGGGACTTTTTTTTCTCCAATTGAAACTAAGAATTGGATCTAAAATATTTCCAAAATGGTGTGAAGTATATAAAAAATAAGGATAACTTTGAGAAACTGTTATAGTCAAAAGTAAGCTAAGGACAGATGATAACTAAATGTAATATGGTATTTAGATAGGATCCCAGATTAGCAAAAGGGACAGTAAGTTATAACTAGGGAACTCTGAAAACACTGGGTACCATTACAGACTAGGAGATGATAATGCTTAAATAACATTTCATTCATTAAAATAGATTTGCCATACCAAGTTGTTAATAATAGGGGAGACTACATGCAGGGGTAATGGAAACTTACTGTACTGTTGTAACATTTTTCTGTAAATACAAAATTGCCCTAAAAAATATTTTCAGAAGGAAAAGCTATATCTTGTATATTTGTGCACCTCCTATAGTTTCATTGCCTATACATATTAAGTGATTATTTATGAAAGAGTCCTAACCTGCTTTATGATACATCAAATCTAGATAGAAATTTCCATTGTATAATTTCAGCACATAGTGTTTTCATCTCTAATTTTTCATTTCTCTGTTCCTTGTGTTACTTTTTTTGAATTCAATATGTTTTTTTAATTTTTTTACATCATTGTTCATTTTTAAACAATGTTTGCTCCTCCCCCACCCCTCTTCAGGTGTAGTCCCCATAGAATTTCCCTCACCAATGCACCCGGGCACCATCACCTCAGTCCCCTGTGCTTCTCCCTCTCTCCCTCTCAGTTTTCATCATATTTATGTAAAAGGCAAAATTTAGGACTCCCCCTGGCTAGAGAAGAAATATTGATTCCTTGTTACATTGGAATTAACAAAGGAATATATTAATACATATACTCGGAAGTGCATAGATGTGTGAGCATGTGTGTATGTGTTTGTGTGTACTCTCCTGACAAATATGTGTGTGTGTGTGTGTGTAAGCTTGTTGTGAGCACATCCCAATTTTTATTTGTATTTGCAATGCAGAGTTTTGAGCTACATCTCTTAACAAAGAGAGTCTCCTTTAAGGGTCTTTCGGCCCAGGTTGGATAGTAAGAAGTTCCATTCTCCCTGCAGATGGAAGCACTTTCAGTGTCAGTTAGGTCACCCTCCTCCTTCTGCAGGAGACCTGCAGAAGCTAAGGCAGAGCCTGCAGATGGTATTGCATAAAAGAGCTCAACATTTAATTAGACTTGTATTCCAAACAATTTCGCCTGATTTTCCCATGTCTACACTGGACATCTACTTCACATTTAAAATGTTCTGAATATTTAAGCCAAGGAAGCTTGATTAAATTACCTCCAAGGTTCATTCCATTGTGAAATATCTATCATTTAATAAATCCTTGAAAAATTAAATGCATGAAATGAATGACAAAAGTAATTAGCTGAGAAAAATTTACTTTTCCTTTTAGACAGATTGTGATAATGATTTTAATAGAGTGATGATATGTACATGAACCATACTTCCTGACATTTTTTCTGGAACAAAATGTAGAAAACTTAATATAAAATAAACACACTGAGAGTCTAGACAAATTATGAATGGCCATCTGTATACATTCATAAAAGCCCATCCCCACTAGATGATAAATTGCATTATTAAGGGGCCATGATCGCTGTTTGGTATTGTTAGTTTTTTAGTCTGTATTTACATGGTGTTTGGAATAGCATTTTGAAGAAAGTAAATGCTTCATTCAAGCTGAATTAAATTGATGTAATTAATAAAATTGGGCCTGTGTTCTTTTAAGAATATACAGATGGCTTCTAAATGAGATAAAGTTTTTAAAGTATGAAATAAAAATGTTAATAGAGATGATAACTTGTGCTTAACAATATGAACTTATTGCATCTAGTCTTCCCTTGAGTTTTCTTACAAATACTTTTGAAGCCTTAAAAAAAAAAATAAAAGCACATTTCTTACTTGACTAATCTAAATGATAAAGACAAATTCCTATGTACTAAGGAATACTGATGGTAATAAACAACATAATATTCCACACTATTTTTGACACTAAAACATTCTTGACATTTTGTCAAATCTTTACTTAATTTTTGTCATCAATCAGCTCATATAAGTTGTACAGCACTCAAAAATTCATAGGCATGAAAAAGAGACTGAATTAAAAGCTTAGTAATCAGAGAAAAAAGAAAATGAAGCGGACCCACCGATGATCCAGAAATTGGAGTTAGCCCTGAAAAAAAAAGAAGGGAATGGAGGCATCACACTCCCAGACTTCAAACTCTACTACAAAGCCATAATCATCAAAACTGCATGGTATTGGAACAAGAACAGACACACAGACCAATGGAATCGAATAGAAAATCCAGAAATAAACCCACAGATTTATGGTCAACTAATCTTTGACAAAGGAGCAAAGACTATGCATTGGAGCAAAGAAAGTTTGTTCAATAAATGGTGCTGGGAAAACTGGGTCGCTACATGCAAAAGAATGAAGCTTGACCACTACCTCCCACCATACACAAAAATCAACTCAAAATGGATTAAAGAACTAGACATAAGAACTGAAACCATAAAATACATAGAAGGAAATATAGGCGAAACACTACGTGATATTCACATCAAAGACATCTTTACAGACACATCACCCAAAGCAGTGATAGTGAAGGCAAAGATAAACAGCTGGGACTACATCAAATTAAAGAGCTTCTGCACAGCAAAAGAGACTATAACAAAAACTAAGAGAAACCCCACCAACTGGGAGAACATATTTGCATGCAACACTAATGATAAAGGACTGATCACAAAAATCTGCAAAGAGCTGATGAGACTCAACAACAACAAAGAAAATAATCCAGTCAATAAATGGGCAGAAGAGCTAAAAAGAAACTTCTCTGAAGAGGAAATGCAAATGGCCAACAGGCATATGAAAAAATGTTCAACATCACTTGTAATCAGGGAAATGCAAATCAAAACTACCATGAGATACCATCTTACACCAGTGAGAATGGCACATATTAAAAAAACTAGCAACAACAAATGTTGACGAGGTTGTGGAGAAAAAGGAACTCTCCTGCACTGCTGGTGGGAGTGCAAACTGGTCCAACCACTATGGAGAGCTGTGTGGAGATTTCTGGACCTACTAAACATAGAGCTTCCATATGATCTAGCAATTCCACTCCTAGGTATTTACCCAAAGGACACAGAAACATCAATTCCAAAGAGCACCTGCACCCCTGTTTCTAGCAGCACTGTTTACAATAGCTAAGCTTTGGAAACAGGCCAAATGCCCAAAAATAGATGACTGGATCAAGATGTGGTACATATACACCATGGAATATTACTCAGCATTCAAAAAAGATAAACACATGCAATTTGCAGCAACATGGATGGCGCTGGAAGGGATCATGCTCAGCAAAATAAGCCAGAAAGAAAAAGAAAAATACCGGATGGTCTCACTCATAGCAGGAATCTAGAAAACTTAAATAAGGGTCCAGGAAAATGAATAACTATAAGAAAGTGAAAATCAAAATCAACAAAAGACTATGAACCAGAGACACTTTTTGGGGGGTGGGGTGTGGGAGGGGAGGGATTGGGGTCAAAATGGGGGTTGCAATTGTATGGGGAATATAAAAATAAAAATGTATTATTAAAAAAAAAGAAATTGGAGTTAGCAGCAAAAAGACTTTACATGAAAATTTGAAAAAACACCAGTAAAATAGATGAAACAATTAAGAGTGTGATCAGAATACCAGAATTTATTTCAAAAGAATACAATTGACATTACACAAATGAACAAAACATTTAGAAACAAGAACAAAGAAGACAGGAGCACAAGTGTCCGAGGTGGTGGGCTGTGGGCTCTTTGGTGGTGGGTGTACTACAAGAACACCACCTGGGGCTTTCCTGGTGGCACAGTGGATTGAACACAGCGCTGTGAAGCTGTCTGCAGCCTCTGCAGTGCTGGTTTGATTCCTGGCCAGACAGGGAGATACCCACATGGCACAGCAGACCTCTCCTGTCTCGCCGGTTGGTCCCCTTTG